ATATATATATATATATATATATATATATATATATATATATTTTATCTGTTCCCATGTCTTATATGTTTCCAGTGTTCTTTTCTGAGTTTTCCAGACATTTTTCTCTTTGTGCTCTAATTTAAATATATTTACATATATTTTACACATTATACCCTGTTCAATATATCATACGAAATTTTCTTTAACATTAAAGTTTTAATAAATATTGTACTATTTTACCATTTGTTATTTTCAGTAAGTTATTTTAAAGTACATATACAGTAACTCCAATGTTTAGATCTTTTGTTTTCAGAGGGAGTGTTGGCCAAAACAACCTCGTCAGCCTCTGCCGAACACTCTCCCTTCCTGAAGTACTTTGCTTTCTTAAATTATCCAAGTCATGAAAATCTGTTTGTGTTTTAGAAGAAGGTAGTGGTTTTCAATTATCATGTACCTAGGAATGAAATCTCTTTAGCGAGGGTGCTAGTTAAAAATGCACATTCTCACACTCCCCACCCCCTAGATACTGACTTCTGACTGGACTCTGGTGTGGGTTCATGAATTTGCATTATTAATAAGATTCACAACTGATTTTGATGTAGGTAGTTCATGTACAAGACCTTGAAGATCCCTTATTTAGGAAAGATAGTATTGAAATATGATAGGGGAGTTATTTCTTTTTTCTTCTTTTCAAGGATTTCCAGTTGATGCTATTATCTTGGAGGCTCCATTTACCAACATATGGGTTGCAAGAATCAATTATCCCTTGTTAAAGGTGAGTGATAGATCTTTACAAGATGTCAAAGTGTAGGTTGTTTCCACACACGTTTATTAACAATTTTCCTTTTCTTAAATAGTTTTATATATTTCTAAGTTATTCTAACTTGTGATAGGTTATTAGCCAGTTGCTATTAAAGGGGGGCACAGCGGCTTTTGGATTTTGTAGTCCTTTTATTTCCTTCTAATAGATTGAGCCAAAGCTTTTTTTTCCCCATTAACTAACTGTACCTCGTATCTTTTATAATTTTTTTCATAGATAGACTTGACTTAGGTTTGTTTATTTATTATTCCTTTTAAAGTGAAAACAGACCTCTCATACATCATTTTCAGCCCTATGAATGTCAACCACATCTTTCATTATTTTATGAGAAGGAAGTCTCTAGAGAATTCAAGGAAGTTGCTGAATGGTTTTACACAGCATCCCAGGTAGAGAAGATGATCTTTCCAAGAAGATAAAGAATTGACTGACAAGATGTGTTTTTTTTTAATCTGTTGTATATATTATCCTAATTTTATAATTTCATTCCATGTCTGATGCTCAACTGCTTATAGTCATACCTCCATAGAAATGTTAGCAAATGAGAGGGGGGTGGGTAAGATTCTTAGAGGGGACATATGGCCCAAGTTTGTAAATTGTCGACTAATCTTGGAAAGCATCTTAAGGGTACTTTTTAAAAAAAATTAATTAATTAAATTTTTGGCTGTGTTAGGTCTCCATTGCTGCGTGCAGGCTTTCTCTGGTTGCGCCAGGTGGGGGCTACTCTTCGTTGCAGTGCGCGGGCTTCTCATTGCAGTGGCTTCTCTTGTTGTGGAGCATGGGCTCTAGGCGCATGGGCTTCAGTAGTTGTGGCATGTGGGCTCAGTAGTTGTGGCTCACGGGCTCTAGAGCACAGGCTCAGTAGTTGTGGCGCATGGGCTGAGTTGCTCCGTGGCGTGTGGGATCTTCCTGGACCAGGGATCAAACCCATGTCCCCTGCATTGGCAGGCAGATTCTTAACCAGTGAGCACCACGGAAGT